AACTAGAGAAACAGACCCTCTTGGCAGTGGTGAAAAACTCCCCAAACTTAGTGGACCCAGTTCTCACACTGAAGAAAAGTAGGTAGTGGGCAGGCATGATTTAGGAAGCTCTTAGACACTAGGGAGAGAAACACTAACTTTGTTCCCCTTGAGAAAGTTAAGGATGACAATTAAAGCCAATATCATGATTTGTCAAGCTGTACTACTACCTCGTTGGGAGTGGTAGTCCACGCCTATAATCCCAGCAGCTCAAGAGGCTGAGACAGGAGGATCCTGAGTTCAAAGCCAGCCTCAGCAACAGGGAGGCATTAAGCAACTCACTGAGTCCCTGTCTCTAAATAAAATAGGTCTGGGGATGTGGCTCAGGGGTCGAGTGCCCCCAAGTTCAATCCCCAATACCAAAAAAAATAAATTAATTAATTTAAAAAAATACCTCGCTTAATCCTAACAGGGTGCCACTTTCTTGATGAGAAAGCTGAGGCTCAGAGAGGAAAAGCTACTTGTCCAAGGTCACCAGTAGGCTGAGAAAGTGAGCCAGAAACAATTATGGAACTGAGGTCCTTCTGTCAAAGCCATAACTCTCATTCCACCGTAAGAGGGGTTGTGAGGTGGTTCCATCAGAGTAACAAGGGAAGCAGAATAAATAAAGACCACTAGTGTTCTGTGCCTACCCTCCCTCCATCCGCTAATGCTGGGCTTGTTTAAGTTTCTCTAACTGCAGAGTTGCGAATCCTAGGCCCCTAAATCTCCATCTCCGGGCCCCCCCCCCCCCCCCCCCCGGCCCCGTTAAACCGTGGAGAGCGGGAAAATGACAAGAGAGGGCAGCACACTACAAAGGGGTGGTTCTCATCCACTCCGGTTCTCTCTGAGGAGCAAGTTTGGGAGGCAAGAGGATGGTGGTGACGATGGCGACAGGGGAGGAGACGGAGAAGCGAGCTTTTCAGACCCAGTTCCTTGTCCCAAGATCAAAACTCTCCATCTCCAACCCAAGCCAGATTCCCAAACCCATGCACAGATGCCTGGATGCAGACGCCGGTTCAAGATCCTCAAGTGCTGCCCCCGACCCAATATCCAATCGCCCCTAACGACCGCATCTACTAGACATCAAACCCCAATCCCAGGACCAAGACCCTCGACTCACGACCGAAGCCAGTCACAAACCTTCAGACCTCCAGGGATCAGGATCGATCGCAGGGCAGAACCAGCATCACCTCCCCACACGAGACCGGACCCCAGGCTCAGAGCCCAGGCCCAGGCCCCATCCCTCCGATTCCGGCCTGGCACCCGGATTCCCACTGTCCCCAGTCCTTGAACCCGGACCCCACTGCCAGCCCCCACCTGGCTTCATGGCTAGCGCTGGAGTTGCGCGGATCCGGGAGTCGGCTGCGTCCCTAACTCCACGAGTCTGGAGCTTTCGCACGTGGAAAGGAGCGCAGGCGCGCGGCGGCGTATGGCCCGTGACGCAGCCACGTATCCCCGCCCCCTGGCTGACGGGCCCCGCCTGGAACTCTGCTCGCGTAGTAGGCGGGGATTCCCGGGCTTCTAAGCGCCCCTTCGAGGCCCCGCCCCCTCTGCTCGCTTCCTGCGCTCTGGGCTGCGCTTCCGGTATCCAGCTTCCCTAGAATGCGCACTCGGCTAACCGAGGCTGTTACTTTTTTTTTGTACCGGAAGTTGAGCCCAGGGGTGCTTAGCCATTGAGCTACACCCCCTTTTTAATATTTTATTTAGAGACAGGTCTCACTATTTTGCTCAGGTTCTTGATGAGTTGCTGAAATTGGCTGTGAACTCGCGATCCTCCTGCCTCAGCCTCCCTGGGAGCTGGGATTACAGGCGTGCGCCCCCTGCCTGGCATCAGAGCTCTTACTGAGGCCTCAATACGGGCTCTGCTCTCTCCCTCTCTTCTTTATTCCTGGCTCCCTCTGTACTCAATATGCCTTCCACCCCCAAGAATAAGCAAGCACCTTTTCTGAGTTCCCATTCATACCTTCGGAAAACATTCACTGTGGACCTCGTATGTTCCAGACACTATGAAAGGGTCAGGCGCGGTGGCGCATGCCTTTCATTCCCAGCGATTCAGGAGGCAGGAAGAYAGCAAGTTCAAGGCCAGCCTCAGCAACTTAGTGAGGCTCTGTCTCAAAAAATAAAAAGGGCTGGGGAAGTGGCTCAGCGGTTAAGTGCCCCTGGGTTCAATCCTTTGTTTAAAAAAAMYYTTTTTTTTCTTCAAAACTGTGGGATGAAATAGTTGAGTCTATTCTGGATTTCTAGGAACTGTGCAGTAATTTAAATGGGTCCGATTCAAGATAGTGTTACCTATTTCTTATAGAATTTACTGTTGGCCTTCTAGATAATTTTTTTTCCCTGAAGATAAAATTACTCAGAGTACAGTACAGATTTGGGCTGCCAGCCTTGTTTCTTGGAGACCTGGCACTATCTCCTGGTTCCAATGTACTTCACCTGCCAAATTACTCTGTCGACTTGAAATTGGCATTTTCAGCGAGTAATTAGTGAGTGCCTCCTGTCCCTACTTGTGCTAGGGACACAGTGTCGACTGAAACAGCCCCAGGCTCTGCCCTCCTGGAGCTGACARTCCAGTCAGGAAACAGACTGGTCTCTGCACAGTGTAAGCCCAGAGCCAGGCCAATAAAGGAAGCCCAGGCAGTCAGGGTAGGACTGAGGTGAGAGAGCCACTTGGGGCTGTTTCTGATGCTCCTCATCATCTCATCTTCCTCTGAAGCTTTCATTACTTTCTACCTCTAAGTACCACTTGCTTTCCCCTGATGGGGCTTTCCATGCAGAGGACTTATTTCCCTTCCACCCTCATACCCATTGGATCTGTAGATGGGTTAAGACCCCCAGCTCCTCAGTGTCATTTTTCTTTTCTTTTTTTCTTTTTTGGTTCCAGGGATTGAACCCAGGGTCACTTAATCACTGAGCCACATCCCTGGCCCTTTTTAACATTTTTTATAGAGACAGGGTCTCACTGAGTTGCTTGGGGYCTTGCTGAGTTGCTGAGGCTGGCTTGGAACTCATGATCCTCCTGACTCAGCCTCCCCAACCACTGTGATTACTGACGTGAGCCATGGTACCCAGCTCCTGGCTGTCATTTCTAAACCCTCCTCTGTCTCCTCCCTAAGGAAACTTTGAAGTTTCCCTAGCCACATTGTAGCAACTGCTTTATTACTACCAACTCTATCAACTCCCAAGCCACTTCTGCTCTTTGTGATTTTAGCTCCCACGGGACTTACTGCAACCTACACTGCTCCCATCATTATTTTTCATGATTTCCGAATTCAGATAGATGGTCTTTCAACCATTCTGGCCTCTCAGTGCCTTGACCTTCACCCCCACTCCCCCACCCCTGCCCAGTGATCCTGTATTCCACCTAGCCCTTCTCCCCTATGGTCACACTTAGACCTCCTGCAGGGGTCAGGCATGGTAGTGCACACCTGTAATCCCAGCAACCAGGGAGCCTGAGGCAGGAGGTTCACAAGTTGGAGATCTGTCTGAGCAACTTTGTGAAAGCCCGTCTCAAAATTTAAAAATGACAAAGGGCTAGCGATGTARCTCAGTGGTAGGGCAATCCTGGTTTCACCAGTACCAAAAAACAAAACCAAAAACCTTGTACTGAGGACACAATGGTGACTGTGATAGCCCTAGAGGTTCCAGATGCTGAGGAAGAAAGAACCTGTATCTAAAACATTGCCAGCCCTAAAACTATAGCCCCTACGGGAGTTTAGTTTGGGGCCTCTTGCTTTCTGTCCATCACCTCCTATCTCTCCACCTCACTCCCTCTGAGGCCAATGCTCCTATTGATCCTTCCTCCCCAGCACTCCATTGAGCTGCCCGCCTGTTCATTGTCCTCACCCCATTGTGACCACTTTACCCTTTATCATCCAGATTCCCCACCATCACTATCACCACACCTTCCCATTGCCAAATGGACTGATAGCACCCCTCTAGTTACAGCCCCAGCACCCTGGCTGTTGAGCMAAAACCACCCGGCCATGTTGGCTGGTTCATAATAAACCTTCAAGCTGTTTTCTACACTTACTGTCTTCATTTCTTCTCATCTTTTCTCTTGGACCCATTTTAATCCAATATTTCCCACCATCACCCCACCAAAATAGTTTTCTTTAGATCACTAAGGACCTCCCTGTTGCTAATGCCAATGGTAAATCTTCTTCCCTAATTTTATTTATTATCAATAACATTTGACACTCCCTCTTGCTTAATATGCTTTTTTTTTCCCCCCATTTGGCTTTCGGAACCTCCCCTGTATTTTCTCAGTGCCCTCATCTTCCATTTTTGACTTATTGGTTGAATTTACACGTTAAATCCTCACTCCAGCTCTTTAAGTGCTGTCAATCATTCCGCTTTAAAGAAGAGGAAACGGAGCCAGAGAGAAATTCAGGATATCGCTAGGATTATAAGTGATGAAGTCAGAATCTAGCCATCTCTCCTTCACTTGTTTCTTTCCTCCCTCCAATCGTTTGTCGTTTCACCCATCCATTCCTCTAATCATTCATTTCCACATCTTCCTGTTTCCCCATTCACCCTTTTCCCATCCCAGCCACCGGTAGATTCTTCTACTCATGCATCTAAGCATGCACACACCGCTCCTCTCACCCCCAATGTTCACTTCCCAGATTCCCCTCATGTGCTGGAAGGAAAGTCAGGATGAGAAAGCATGAAAAAGAAACATCAGCGTGCAGCTTGGCTTGAGATATTTATTCAGTGCTCTCACATTGGGCCTCAATGGCTCAGCAAAGGGGTAGAGCAGGGTAAGGGCACACAGTGCATCCTTTCACCTCCAGAAGGGTCAGGTCTTGATGTCTTCATTCCCAGTGGATGATTCATCAGTCATAACTGCAAGAGACAAGCACTCAGCACCTCCTCTAGCGGACTAGGCAACCCACCCAACCTGCCTGCTTCCCAAGAGGATCCAGATCCTCCTGCCCTCAAGAATCCTGGCTCCAACATGACAGCCCTCACCCCAGCCCTCACCATTGGGAGAAGTCCTTTGCTTTCCATTTCTCCATTCCTGTCTCCGTGGGCACATCATTGGTATGGACCCCGTCAAAGTTTCCGCAGGCCCCACACAGCTTGCCAGAATGCTCATCACCAACCATCACAGCCAGCTGCCCATTGGTCTCAAGTTGGATTTGGACCCCTCCCTTCTGGTTGACTAGCATGGAGCCATCGGGTGTCTGCCTCACAGACACAGATGAGAACACTTCTGCTGGGAGATCCACTGGGAGACCGTTCACCTGGTAGTGGGAAAACATGGAGGTGAAGCCAGAGCCACAGAAGAGCTGGGGTGTTATGAAGATGGAGAGTCCAAGCTAGAGAACAAGCTCAAGGTGCTAAAGCAAAGATGCAGGTGCACGCGATGCAGGAATGGCTCCATCAGAAGACAGCTGGAGATCTGAGCGGATGGGTAAAAAGGGTGGAGAGTAGATGGACGAGAAATGGACTGAGGGACCCACATAACATCTCCAGGTCACAGGGGATAAGCACTTTGACCCAGATAGATAAACAAACAAACCCTAGGGTCATCCTGCTTGATCCTAGTCTTCAAAAGAAAAGAAACTTTGAGTCTATTACTGGTTTCCTAACAAGAGCAACATTATCCTTTATTTTTGTAATGGTGACGTCTGAAGGTAAGTAATGATCTTAACAAATATGAGAGGAAATTTTTGTTTCTTTGTCATCAGCTGCAGACTCTGTAACCTTATGAATTTCTTCTTTAAAGAACGGTTGTCCATATAGTGGATGAATGAATCCTTCTAATGTGAACTTGCCAAAGCAAGTTCTTTGAAAGAGATGTTCTCTTTTCTCCAGATGCTCTTGTTTCTGGGTCTTCCTGTCAGATAACTGGAGAGACAGGTAGATAGATAGGAAAAAGTAGATACAGATCTGATGGATTGATGCATGGAGTGTGGGAGGAAGGAAGGAAGGAAGGAAGGAAGGAGATAGAAAAAAATGGAGGGTGGAAAATAGATGGTGGAAGGAAGGAGAGGCAGTGAGATAGACGGAGACTTGGTAGATGGACAGTCTCACCGGCTGCAAGCTGGATCGAAGTCGTTTCTCTTACCAAGCACAGTGTGGCACAGAGGAAGGAGGGCTGAGTTTTTTCACAGAATCAAACTTTTCCTTCTAGATGCCCTGAGCTGGGTACTAGAACAACTGGTCATCAAGATGGCCAGGGTCCCTGCTCACATAAGACTTATAATCTAGTAAGGCTGAACACTTGGGAGTTTCCTTCCAGGGAGTCTGAAATTTTGGTAAGCACTATGCAGAGTGTGCCTAGGTGACCAGACCCCTGTGCAAACCCTGGGAGATGCTAATGAACTTCCCTGGTAGACAGCATTTCATTTTGTGTGTTTTGTCACAGAGTATCACTGGAGGATTATGCATACCCCGCATGATTCCAGGAGGGGAGAACTCTGGGAAGCTTGGGTTAGGTTTCCTCTGGATTTTGCTTGGTACATCTTTCCTCTTTGTAGATTTTCCTTTGTATTCTTTCATTGTAATAATTCTCAGAAATACAACCATATGCTGGGTTCTCCTAGTATATCTGGGAAACTGGAGATGGTCTGGGGCCATCTCCAGGGGAACCCTGATGGTCATGTGACCCCAGACTGACCAATTGCAGCATTCCATCCCTAAGGCTGCAGTGATTGATTCCAGGCATAGGCATGAGTCCAAACTGGCCCAGAGAGACAAAATCTTGGGTCTTTTGTTGAATCAATTTCTGCTGAGGTAGCTAAGCTGATGGGGCATAGCTTGGGGAAGTTGGAGGGTTATCTTCCTATGAAAGGAATGAAGCTGATCTGGTGAACAATAAGTCTAAAAAATAGAGGTATAAATTCCTGATAATATTGCCAGGGCACTTGGATCCAGCCACTCCCGGGGCTCTATCTCTGGATTTTCTAGTTATGTGGGCCAATCAATTAATTTTTTGCTTAAAGCAATTTGAGTCTTGATTGATACTAAAACTACTAAGTTACTTGAGTGTGTTTTTGCTTCCCAAGAACTCAACCCTATGGAGGCACTAAATCTGAAGTGTTGAGACAAATACAAATTTAGAGACCATACTGCAGAGATCTCGATAAGGAAAACAGCAAGGCAGCCAAGGAGCCAGGAATGTAGAAGAACATTGCAACAGGAAGAATGAAAATCCAGGGGAGACATCCCACCTACCATGCCCCGACTTACCCACACGCCCTTGCCTGGGGTCACAGTGACAATACCCTCTTGGAAGAAGATGTGGAACTGGCTCACRGTTTCAGGCTTTTCATGGCAGGGCTGGACATTAGCAACCACACGGTACCAGGGGATGGTCGGCCGTAGTGTTGGGCAGCGGGAAGATATCTCATAGACACCAGGGGAGCTGAAGGTACTGTTGGCCCCATCGAAGGTGGTGATTTGGGCACCCAAGGAGAGGGTACAGAGACCTTGGGCAGCCTGGCATTTCCGGGATCCTTCCTGGATACCGCAGACATGGCCTGCTGGACAGCCAGCTGCCTCACATGTCAGACCCTTGCTTGAGGAACAGGAACAGCGCTCACTGCAGTCTGAGTTCCACAGGGAGGAGTTCACCTGTGCACAGAATGGGGCCAGGTTAGGGTGGGACAGAGACTGCAGCAATGGCCACAAGCCCCCCCCACCCCAATCCTCTACTCAGACAGGGTGATTTTGCAGAAGACTCCAWTTAAGAAATGAAGTGTGTTTCTCCTATCCATGAATCTAGGTAGGCCTTAAGACTATGCTTGGTCAATCAAATACAGCAGAAGCCATGTTGTGCCAGGTTTGTGTCTAGACCTCAAGAGGCCTGACCGCCCCCACACCCCGCCCCCACACTCTCTCTGTCTCAGGAGGCTGAAGCAGGAGGATCACAAGTTCAAAGCCAGCCTCAGCAAAAGTGAGGCTCTAAGCAACTCAGTGGTTGARTGCCCATGAGTTCAATCCCCAATACCTAAATAAGTAAATAAATAAAAATACTGGGACAACAGATGAAATTTGAATAAAATCTACAGATTAGTATTGAATCAATGTTAACTTCCTGTTTTTTAATCTTTTTTTAAAATTGTAATTGGACACAATCCCTTTATTTTATTTATTTATTTTTATGTGGTGCTGAGGATCGAACCCAGCTCCTCACATGTGCTAGGCGARTGCTCTACAGCTGAGCCACAATCCCAGCCCCAGCTTCGTGGTTTTGATAATTATGTGTCATATAAATGAATTTCCTTCTTCTGAGGAAACACATGGTAAAGTACTTATGAGTAAAAGAGAATTACATTTGCAACATTTTCTCAACTGAGAATTGAGAGAAAATAATAGATATATATTTATATTCAGAGGATGATAAAGCAAATSTGGCATAATATCAACAAATGAAAAACCTCACTGAAGGGTATACAGGAGGGCTTTGTACTATTCTTCCAATTTTTCTTTGGCTTTTTTTTTTTGTACTATGAATTTAATCCAGGGGCCCTTTACCACTGAGCTACATCCCAAGTCCTTTATTTATTTATTTATGTTTTTATTGTGAGACAGAGTCTCACTCAATTTCTGGGGGACTCACTAATTTGCCAAGGCTGCCCTTGAACTTGCAGTCCTCCTGTCTCAGCCMGGCAAGTTGCTGGAATTACAGGTGTGTGACACCACACCTGGCTTCTTATGTTTTTTCTTAAGTTTGAATTCATCAAAAATAAAAGTTTGCCAGCATGGTGGCACACACTTGTAATCCCAGCGGCTTGGGAGGCTGAGGCAGGAGGACTGCRAGTTCAAACCCAGTTTCAGCAAAAATRAGGCACTAAGCAACTCAGTGAGATTTTGTCTTTAAATAAAATACAAAATAGGGCTGGGGATGTGGTTCAGTGGTTGAGTGCACTTGAATTCAATTCCTGGTACCGATCAATCAATCAATCATCAATCAATATTTGAAAACCTTGAAAGAAAAAGGTCAGTGTAATGAMCAAAATAAACACAGTCATCCCTCAGTTCCAGGAYCCAGAGGYGCATMTGTAGCTGCTCARGTTCTTTATRTAAAATGGCATAGCCCTGGCATATAACCTGCGCACATCCTCCTGTGCACATTAAGTCTTCTCTAGGTTACTTCTCGTGCCTGGCACAATGTAAATGCTACGTAAATAGCAGTTGTACTGCATATATTGTTTAGGGAATAATGACAAGAAAAAGTCRGCACGTGTTGTCAGAACAGATGCAACTTTGTTTTGAAATATTTTCCATCTGTGGTCAGTTGAATCCATGATGTGGACACTGCACACAGAAGGACTAATGGCACTGTGCATATTGATGACTCCCACATTTTTATCTGTGGGCCATGCGTCTCCCCCCGAATGCCAGATTCACAAACCTAATAAAACTTCCATTGCAGACAGAAGGCACAGGGCTTAGATAGGGGAGCAAGGGCAGAGGAATCAGGGCTAGGATGGGGAGGTGCAGGCAGAGGGTTGGGGTGAGATGAGGAGGCACGGGGGTGGGGGTGGGAGTCCAGATGACCTAGCTGAGGGGTTTTCTGGATGGCTTCTAGCAGGTGGTGAGACCTGAAGGAAGAGTAGGAATTTGGATCCACTTGGAAGCGGTGCAAGTTAGAGCMACTTGCTTTCTCTACATCACAACTTCTTTATTTGTAAAATGGGGGAAATAGCAAGAAGAGAGAGGCAGAGGGAGATTTTGTGGCCCACACACAGGAGARGAGGAAGAGATCAGAGTGGTGTGGCCACAAGCCAAGAAATGCCTGTGGTAGGAGAAGCAAGGATCAGATATTCTGCCCTGGAGCCTCCAGAGACCTCGCCATCCTACCAACACTGTGATTTCAGCTCAGTGATCCTGCTTTCTGACCTYGGACCTCCAAACTGTGGAAGAATTATTTTCTCTTGTTTTAAACTACTGGGTCTGGGATAATTTGTTACAGCAGCTTTAGGAAACTCATACAGGTTCCCCATATCAAGTCACTCAGCCAGGAAATGGTGCTTGTGCCTCTGTCCCCATCCATAAGAAGATCACCACAGAAGCTCTGAGTCTCCCTCAAGCTCCTCCAATCACCCCTGCCCACCTCAAGTCCCTGCTCACCGGCAAGTATCGGCCTTGATAGGTRCAGCCGCAGTCTTGAGCAGGGATGCAGACACCCTGGGAGAGCAGGAAGCGGTCATCACATTSGCAGCCCTCAAAGCAGCGGGAGGTGCAGCCCGTGAGGCCGGAGAGAGCCGCACAGGAGCTCTGGCAGTGGTGAGTGCACACGGAGTAGTGGCTGTGGGCTGGGCACTTGAGAGCTGCAGAGACAGGGGCACAATGGGGTGACACCTTCAGGAGGGCATGGAATACCTAATGGGAYATTCTGCCCACCCAGCCCTGGGTGGGGTGATGCTGAAGACAATTGATGAAGCCAACCCTGAACTCTGTCCTACAGAGCTCACATCCAGCTGCAGACAGCAAGTGCCCCCAAGTGACCRTGCCGCATTGGGAAGAACAGATGGAGGGATCAGGCCTGGGACGGGGAAGTACAGGCAGAGGGGAGTGGGGATGGGCAGACATAGGAGAAAAACAGGGGCCACGAGGACCCAGGGACACACCCAGGAGAAGGCCTGGGTTCTGGCTAAGCAACTGGAGGCTGGTGCAGCTGCCCTGAGTTGGCCACCAGGGCAGGAGAGAGAAGGATCAGGTTTAGGGTAAAATTCTGAGTTCCACTGGGAACATAGCAGGTGTGAGGGACTCTAAGGACACCCAGGAGAAGGTTTCTACCAGGCCCTGGGGCTGGCAGTCAGGGGAGAGTTCAGGGTTGGAGACAGAGAGAGTCCACGGTCACCACTGAGGACAGATCCAAGGCTGTGGGCTGGGTGATGGCCCCAGTTATAGGTCCTTCCCTGAGAAGACTGAAGGTGACAGCTCTCCCTTGGGACATGAATGGTCATCAACTTATCTCAGAGAGTCTTAAGGGAACATGTCCCTTCCTTGGGGATTTGAAGGAGAGGTCAAATCCTGTTTGGAATCTAATGGCGGTGGCATTGCTTGGGGGTTTGGGATGTGCCACAGACTCAGGCTTGTATGGACTGCTGACCTGCCCAACCCTTCCTCGGAGGTTGGATCGAATGCCAGGGAAGAAGTGAAGGTCAAGTTGGAGGAGAGTGCATCCCTGAAAGGAGTCTGAGGAGGCACAGTCAGGGGGTAGGAGAGAAGCCTCAGAGGCGGCTGTGGAGGGAGCTGGGGGGAGCACTGTCCTAGGGAGGGACATCCCGAGCCACAGACAGAGAAGGAACAGGCCAGGCATCCTCTGAAGGGCCCATGGACACTCACAGCAGAAGCTGTCTGACCTCCAGGGCTTCACGGACGAGCCGGCTGCCTGACAGTCTGCTGTATACGCCGCCAGGTGCTGGCAGAGGAAGGCTTCGTCACCCTTGTGGGCGCACATGTCATACACACATTGGCGGAAGTATTCAGAGGGCTTCAGCACCTTATGGCAGGTCGCGAAGGGGCCCTGGGGGTCTTGGAGTATGCCACAGACCTTGTTGCCCTCATAGGGTTTTGTCTCCTCTGCCAAGCACACAGGGCAGCCCTGAGGCCCACAACCCTCAAAACAACCCTCCTGGGAGGAGTCCATGTCTTTCCATGAAGCTCCAAAGACCTCCACGCTGGCAGTTACTTTGCCAGTAGGAAGGGCAAAGTCGTCGGTCCAGTTGCCATTGAAGTTCCCACAGAGGCCACAGACCCGTCCATGGAAGGAGCTAGGGACGGATATGAGGATGTGGAAGTCGCCGTCGTAGAGGATCCGCAGCCCCTTGGTCGTCTGCAGAATCAGGTGTCGGCCTTCGGAAGTCACCCGCACAGGGCCCACAGACACGGGCAGGGCCACAGCCTCGCCGTCCACAGTGACCTGGATGGAAGGGTCAGGTGGGTTGGGGATCACAGTGGGTGAGGCTGCCCCTCATGTTCCCAGTGGGGAGCATGTCAGGCCCTCATGGTGGTAGGTGTGTCTCCCCCTACTCTATCAGGGTGGGGTCCTATTTCTTTCAAAACCCCTGGGTTGACTTAACATCTCCCTCGGAACCTACAGGGTGAGGGAATGACTCCCTTGGAATTCCCTGAGCGGAGCTGTGTGCCCTCAGAACCCCAGGTCAGGGTCCTGTTCACTTACCGTTGGCCCTTGATCCAGACTCACAACCAGCTCATCCACAGTAACGCGCAGGCGTTGGGATTGTTCGGATGATGTGTTCTTCTTCTCAAGGACGATGCTAAATCTCTCATCTCCAGACTTCGGGAGGCAGACTTCGGCCAAGACATAAGAACAGGTGCCATGCAGGTCATAGACACGCCCATCAAAGGTGACATAGTGGATGCCTCCGTTGGCCATGCAGCGACCACAGCCCGTGGGATAACAAGCCTGGACGCCATCCTCTCTTCGACACTCCTCATAGGGTCCACAGGCTTCGCCATCCAGGCAGCTGACCTGGCCATGTGGCCCACACTCACAGCGCCGCCCACACTCAGGGCCCGGGTAGAAGGTCGCGCCCAGTGGGTAGTAGCGGCCATCATGGAGGCAGCCGCACTGGCTCACAGGCACACAGGTGTCACCACTAAGCACGAAGTCAGCATCACAGACACAGCCCTCGCGACAGGTGGACTCACAGCCCTCGGGTGCTGTGAGGCTTGGGCAGCTCACCGGGCAGGAGTCCCCGCAGAGCTCATAGTGGCTATTGGCAGGGCACTGGAAAGCTGGGGGGACACAAAAGAGGTGAGCCAGGCAGGTGCAAAGGTRGGTAAGAGGAGGTCCCTGGTGGGAGGACCTGCTTGGACCAATCTGGTGTGTATGGTTGGGTGTAGAGATCTGATCCAGTACACCCTACAGCAGGACTCAGTGTGGGATTTCAGGTGTGTGTGGGAGGAGCAGCTCAGACCAAGGTGTGTGATAACCTGACCAAGGACTTCTAAAGATCAGTGGCTGCCTGGTGAATTTGATCATGTCCATCTCAAAGTGTGAATACACCTGGGGTGTGGGCCAGATGGGCCTCAGGGTATCAACCTGTCTGAGTGGAGCTGATTGTGGTGGCTGACATGATCAGGAGCATCTACAGTCTCTGACACARTGTGTTTCAGGGCATGTGTATCTGATTGTATGAAGCGAACAGGGTAAACTTGACCCAGATCTGCTTGAAGGGAATGGCCCAGGACTATCTGACTATGAATCTGAATGAATCTCCCTGAAACTGTCAGACTCCTGATTCCATCTGGATTTAAGTGACTTCAGTGTCTCAGTGTGTAATCTAGCTCGATACCATTGAAGGAGTGTGGCCAATTCTGTGTGACTGGGTGTATTCCATTGTATAAGACAGCTCAGGGGCATCTGACCAGGTATGTAGCTCACTAGGTCTCTCTGATCAGGGGTTCCTTGCTGGGTGACTTTGGGTCAACCAACTAGTTCATCTGATTAGGATATCTGAGTGCATGAGTTCACCAGAGCGTATTGGACTCTTGAGTTTCTGACCAGGTGTGTCTAGCTGATCTTGTGTATTTCAATGCCATACCTGATCTGGTGTATTTCAGTGTGTGAATTCCAAGGAGTCTCTGAGGAGATATCTGACTCGGGGACAGGAGAATGGCCCCGAGCCCAATGGAGGCAGGAGGGCACTGGGAAGTGACAGCGGGAACTCTCGATAAGTGCACTATGTATGGATCAGTACTTACGACAAAAATCAGGCTTCCTCCACTCTTCGAGAATCGCCCCAGCGGCCTGGCAGGCTGCCACGTAGGCGGCCAAAGCAGGGCAGAGGCCTCCCTGATGGCCCTGGGTCTGGCAGGCATCCAGCAAGCAGGCTTTGAAGTACTGGTCAGGTGGCACCAGGCTGTGGCAGGGTGCTAGTGGGCCGTCKGGGGCCGAGATCATACCACAGGCGTTGGGGCCGCCGAAGGACTCCTGCTCTTCGGGCGTGCAGGGTGCCGGGCACGGCCCTGGCACGCACTCGCCACAGCCAGGTTCGCCGCCCACCTGCCAAYCTTCTGGCTTCCCGCCCACCGCGTTCAGGTCGTCCGCCGGATTCTTGTTGTAGTTACCACACAGGCCACAGAGGGCGCCCGCGTACGCCGCCGGCACGCGCAGGCGCACAAAGCTGTCCCCGTCGAAAGTCAGCGAGAGCCCAAAGGCCGTGGTCACCACCACGTCGGCGCCGCTCAGGTGCGCGTGCAGGAGTGGGTCCTTCTGGAAGGGTAGCTCCACGAGCTCGCCGTCCACCTGCGGCCGTGGGAAGGGGGACGGCAGTGAGTGGCGTGGATCCCGGGGTCTAATCCTATCTCCACCTCATATTAGCCGTGGAACCTCCGCACGGAACCGCCCTTAAGCATCTGTACACCTCGTGTCTTGGGCCCCTTTGGCTACTCTGAAGCAGGTACTTTCTGCAGATTCATTTTACAAAGGAATCTACTAAGGCTCAGAGAGTCCGAAGCGGCTGATCCAAACTGTCAGGCTCCCAGGGCTATACTCTGAACCCCTTCATCTTGTGGGTGCTAAGTTGTGAAAGGTGCTGTGGGGATCAGCTGACCCCCCACTGTCTGGCTGCCATCTCTGCTCACCTGTAGCTTCCTGGGCCAGCGGGCACTGAGTGTCAGGCTGTGGCCGTAGACATGCAGAGTGACACTGCGGGTGTAGCTGACAGCCTGACTGCCCCGGTGCTCATTGACCACAGTGACGGTGAAGTTCTCAGTCCCCTTGGGTGGTTCGGGGCAGGGCCCACTCAGGAGGTATTCGCAGGTGCCTTGGAAGTCGAATCGGTGGCCATCCAGGGTGGTGTAGTGGGGGTCACCCCAGGCCTGGCACTCAGCTGTGCTGACAGGTTGGCAGCCGTGCTGGCCAGAGGGTAGCAGGGTACACTGTTCACCCAGCCCACAGCTGCCGGGTGTGCAGGACAGTGAGCCACCCTGAGGTCCACAGTGGCATCGCTGAGAGCAGGAGGCATCAGCCCAAAACTCACTGCCTGCCTCATAGTAGGTGCCATTGGCCCAGCAGCCACAGCCGCCGTCCAGGGGAACGCAGCGGTGRCCACTCAACACGAAGCCTTCATTACACTGGCAGCCCTCAGCGCAGGGGCCCTCACACACAGCTGGTTTCGTGGTAGGCTCAGGGGGCGGGCAGCTGGCTGGGCAGGGTGGGCCACAGAGCTCGTAGTGGCTGTTTTCAGGGCAGGAGATCTCTGTGGGGAGGAGTGGGAGAGAGAGAGAACAGCATTTGGAGGGGGATCCTGGGACAGGGTGGAAAGAGACAGAAACAGAAAAAGGGGGGCAGAGAGAGAGAGAGAGAGAGAGAGAGAGAGAGAGGACAGAGAGAAAGAATGGAGAAACAGAAACAATCAAGGAACCACACAGAGAAATACTAAGAGTCGGAGACACAGAGAAACAAACAGAAGGACCCAGAAGGACTGCAGTGAAATCTCTCGGCCCCAGCTGCCTCCCCAACACTCACCACAGCCGGCCTGTGTCCTCCAGTCCTTGATGGTGATTCCAGCAGCCTGGCAGGCAGCAGCATAGGCAGCCAGCGCCTGGCAGAGTATGTCCTGGGTTCCTCCACCCAGGCAGACATCCAGAACACAGCCCTTGAAGTAATTTTCAGGTGGCAGGTGGGCATGGCAGGAGGTGAAGGGGCCATTTGCGTTAGGGGCCAGAGGTCCGCAGAAGCTGGGACCCTTATACTCTTCCAGCCGCTCCTCAGGGCATGTTGGGCAGGACCCTTTGCATTCATCCCAGCAAAATGGGTCCCAGTCTGGAACTCGCCAGCTGCCACCCCAGGTGGGTATTGAAGGAGCCACTGTGCCGTTAGGGAAGACTTGATCGTTACTGGCGTTCTTGTCCATGTTCCCACAGAGCCCGCAGACTGCTTTCCTGTAGCTGCTGGGCAGCTTCACCTCTACCTGCCAATTCCAGTCATAGGTGACTTGAAGCCCAAAGTCAGTCACCAACACAGCCTTTGATGCTCCATGGGTCACTGAAATCCGCCCACCAGCCACAGAGACAGGCAGGGTTGTCAGCACACCATTCACCTGGGGGTGGGGAGGGAGGCAAACAGGGGTCACATGGGGTAGGGAGGTCCCAGCTCTGGTCCCTGCCTCCCTTCCTCTCTCATCCTGCCAGTAGGTGGGAGCTGTCAAGGTCTTTATCCATATATGATTATGTAGTCATTTTATAAACATGGATGTCTGTTCTCATCCAGGCCCTGCGGAATGAGACCTCACATCTGCTTTTTCTGGCTCTCTCTCTCTCTTGATCTCTATCTGCCTCTGCCTTCACTTGGGTTTTCTCTTGTCTTGGAGATCTCTCTCTATCTCTGCATTTATTCTCTTGGTCTTTCTTTGTGTCTCTGCCCCTCCCAACCCYCCGCTCCGCTTGCTCTTCTCATTCTCTGCCTGGTTGTCTCTACTCCATCATGGTCACATACCGAGCGCCTGTCCTGTTCCATGCCTTCCTTTCTCCCTGTGAGCTGCTACTCATCTGCATCTTCTTTTTCCTGGGCAGAAAGGGTAGCCTATCTCTGTCTTTACCATCTCTGACTTTCTCTTCATGTCTGAGTCTCTGGGCCTCTTGTCTGTTCCTTGATACTCACAGGTGCTTCATTAGGCCCGGCTCTGAGCTCAGCACTTTAACTGTACCACTTTGTTGTGGGCTTGGGCCTGCTATGATGCTCCTTCAACAGATGAGGACCTTGAAGGCCACCAAGTTATTGCTTGGCCAAAATCACGGAGCTCATAAGGAGGAGGGAGAACTGGGGTTCAGATCCAGGTCTTTCACAAAGGCAAATGCTAACCTGCTATGTTAAAGCCCATAGCAAAGGGTTAGGCTTAATTCCCAGAGAAAGGATGATTGTTTGCTGTAATTGTTATCATTCCTGTTGCCAATTTGATTTAGGCCTAAGTGAAGATAGAGTTTTGTGTTTTTTTTTGGTACTTGGGATTGAACCCAGGGGTGCTTAACCACGGAGCCATATCCACAGCTCTTTTAATATTTTTTTTTCAGAGACGGGATCTTGCTGAGTTGCTTAGGACCTTGCTGAGTTGCTTAGGGCCTCGCTAAATTGCTGAGGCTGGCTTGGAATTAGAAATCCTCTTGCCTCAGCTTCCCAAGCCACTGGGATTACAAGTATGCACCATCACACCTGGTAAAGATGGAGAATTTTGAGCTCCTAACTGTGGCTGWTAGGACACTACTGGGGGGCTCAGACGACCATCCTGCTGAACATACCCGGACTTTGCCGATCTCATTCTTGTGGATGGAGATGTTGGTATTGAGAGTATTCACAGTGACAAGCTTCACATAGGACACAGAGGGATTACCCCGGTTTTCATTCTTGGTGGTGACGGTGAAGGGAGTCAGGTTTTGAGAACTGACCCCTGGGCAGTCAGTTGTTGCCAACACATAGTTGCAGGTGCCCTGGAAGTCAAATGCCCAGCCATCGAAGGAGTGGTAGTGTGGGTCACCCCAGAGCCARCACATGACCTCAGAGATGGGCACACAAATGCCCACGCCATTCTGAACTTCGCATATCTCCTGTGGCTTGCATATCACATTGTGGCACGGATCTGGGGACAGAGAAGAGAAGRCATTGAGGGGGGTTGCTCACCATCAGGTGGCTGCTTTCCAGTATCTGCCCCAGACTGTGCMGGGGATGTTGACTCTGAAGGTTACTGCAGGTGAGACCAGATTCCAGGATCCTTACACCCAAGACCCAGGCCCTAGAGTTTGCTGTGTCTAAGACCAAGCCCTGGAATTCCCGCTGGCCTGACATGCAGGTCCTATAATGGACTGTGTCCACAGCCTAAGGGTCAAGGGTCCCCATTTTAGGCCCTAGAGTCATTTTCTCTGAGACCTCTTTCCCTATCTGTTTGAGACCCAGGTCCCAGGGTCCCTGCATTTAAGATCCAGGTTCCGGGTTCTCTTGATTGAGATCTCAGCCCCAGGGGACTCACACTGAGACCTTCCCTCCAGGGGTCCCTATGTCTGAGGTACCAGCCCTGAAGGCCTCCATGTCTGAGATCCCAGTCCCAGGTTCCCCCATGCCTGAAATCTCAGCCCCCTGGTCTCATGCCCAAGATGAGGGTCCTGGGGGACTTTTTGTATGGGAACCCTGTGCCAGGGGTCACAACATTCATACTCTGGCTCTGAGATCCCCATATCTAMGTCTCATGATCTGGGGGTCTTGCGCCACAAGACTTCATTCCTAGGGGTTATTTCAACTAGACTTGGTCTCACTTCTAAGTTCTCGTTCTGGAGGGCTTCTGAATCTAARAACTCATCCTTAATGTCACTATCTCTGCTATGCCAACTTTTGGAATCTTCTGTGTGTAAATTCAAACTTCCTCCTTTCTCCTCCTGAGCCAGTTACCAATATATTGCCTCCTGCTCCAAATCCACCTGCATAGTTAAACTTTGTCTCTAGAGGGCGCAAGAGAGCTGCTGCAGGAGGCCAGTCCCTTCTTGGTTACAACCGGCTCAGCACTTCCTGCTCCTGGGCGTGCAGGGCCAGTGACATTTGGGACACCTGCTCAGTGGGTTTCACTGGCCCCAGCTGGCTTCCCAGCAAATCACCCAGGCATTCCAGCTGGCAGGTTCCCACCGAATTCTGCTAGCATCTCGGTGGGGGTGTCTTTCCTGAGGGTTGCAGCCTGTGCAAACCTCTCTGCCACCCAGTGAGTTACAGTAGTGTCTCTTCAGTGAGATCTCAGGCTCCCTGTCTGCTGTGTTCCTATTCCTCAGCATTCTCTTTTCCCTTTTTTAAATAATTAATTTGTTTTGAGATAGGGTTTCATTAAGTTGCCCAGGCTGGCCACTCTGAGGAGCTGGAATCACTGGTGCGCACCACCACACCCAGCTCCCTTTACCCTTTAGTAGTTATTCTGCTTACTAGTAAATCATTCTGTCGTCTTCTTTTTGTCTTTTCTTTTTCTTTCTTTCTTTCTTTTTTTTTTTTTTTTTGGTACCAGGGATGATTGAACCCGGGGCGCTCAACCACTGAGCCATATCCCCAGTCCTTTTTTCTATTTTTATTTAGAGATCGGGTCTTGCTAAGTTGCTGAGGCTGGCTTTCAACTCACAATCCTCCTGCCTCAGCCTCCCAAGTCACTGGGATTACAGGTGTGAGCCACTGCAGCTGGCCCTCTTTCTTTCTTTCTTTCTTTTTTTTTTTTGAGGTGCTGGGGGTACATCCCAGGGCTTTGCACATATTGAAAAGTACTCTACTACYGAGTGACATCCCCAGCCCTATAAATCATTCTTTACATAAACTTTCCATATTCAAATGACCGTGTGGCATCTGTCTCCCGACTGGACCCTGACTGATGTACCTCCATCTCTGGCAGTACCTGTTATCCTGCCCTCAGCACTGAGCGACTCAGCCCCTGCCTCTCAGTTCTGGAGGTCCCATTCTTTAAACCTTCAGGGGGTTCTCGCTTTTCACCTAAGAAACCAGCCCCAGGGTGGCTTTGAGTCCCAGATTTAGTCTAGGGATCCCATCTATGTCTGACACTGTACGTAGAAATCCCGATCCTCTGATTGGGGGCCCCTGTAGCCAAAGTCCTGCCTTCGTGGGAGCTCTGCTTCAGTCTTGGGACTGGGACTCTTCCTGAGACCTCAGAACTCTGCTTTCTACACTGTCCCCTGTGGCTCAGTCTTCCCTGCCCCACGGTGCTGACATCTGAAGTCCAGATACCAATCCACAAACCAGTGGTCAGCAAACTAGGGAACCACTGGTTGCCTGTTTTTGTAAATAAAGTTTGATTAAAGCCACACCACTTCACTTGCTTAGTCTGTGGCTGCTTTCATGAACAATGGCAGAGCTGAGCTGTCGTGATCAGGACTGTGTGGCCTGCAAGCTTAAATATCTCCCCTTTGGCCCTTGACAGAAAAAGTCTGCCTGTCTCTGCTCTATACTTAGTGCCTCTGACATCATCTGTCCTGAGAACTCTAGTCCTGAAGGTCCCCCTCGTCCTGGAATCCTCCCAAGGGTCCTTGCCTCCCATAATGTTGGTCTCTGCTCTTGACATCGAAAAACCCAGCCCAGAGTCCTAGCCCTCTGCGCCTCCCACAGGAAAGCCACCATGAAGCCATGCTACTACTCTCAGCTCCCAGGTCCCTGCCCTCTTCCCCCAGCCCCCACCCCCCACAGCCCAGCACCTTCAGGGKCAGGGTTGGAGCCCGAGACGCAGCTCAGGACGCCTTCGTGGGGCTTGCAAACCTCCTCTGGCTTGCAGGTGTGATTCTGGCACGCCATGATTCCATTTGCATGGCACACACACTCCTGCTGGCAGTCWTCAATGAGGACCTTCTGCTCCAGCTGTGGGGACAGAGGGCATGGTGATCAGGGATCCATCCCATGGGTGGGAGCCAACTCTGGCATCTCCAGTGTTCCAGGCACAGAAGGGTCCAGAGAACATGAAAATGGCATCTTTCAGCGAGGTGGCACCTTGGGACTAGGGCCCAAGTCAGGCATTCATTCATTCATTCATTCATTCATTCCCTTTCATGCATTTCCTGGCTCTTTCATCCAAAATAGCCACAGATGTCTGCTGTAGAGGAGAAGCCGTGTGAATAGTAATTAAGAGCAAATCCTCCAGAGCAGACTAACTGGCTTTGAGCCTGCTTCTGCTATTTCCAGAACCATCCAACRCTGGATGACGTTACTTAACCTCTTTAWGCCTCGGTTTCCTCATCTGTATGCTGCAGGCATCTGTAAACTGCCTATGATAATCACATTCGCCAGAGAAAGTATATCTGAGTTAATACACGTGCAACATACAGATGAAACGAAAAGGGACCTCCTTCAACAATCCAGACTGGAGAGGAAAGCGGGCGGGTAGAGATGAAATAAGATTGGGATGAGCAGGAYGTGGAGACTCATTGCACTGTTCTGTTAACATTTGCAGGTTTGAAATTCTTCGTAATAAAAGTGTCTATGTAAAATAAAAGCAGGCTGGTGGTAAGCACCACCCACAYATTTATTATTATTTCTAGTATTGCTAGTGTAAGGAGAACAACAGAGGGTCCCTGACCACAGCAAGCTCTCCGTCTTGTGAGGGTGACAGATTTTAGACAAGCACACACTCAAGTCAAAGGAAAAGGACTCACTGTGGGAGAGGGAAACAGAGGGTACTGGCAGCTGGTCTAAGAGAGGCAAAAAAGTCATTTTTGTGACCATGGAGGCCACCTTTGCCCAGACCTGGGATACAAAGCTGAATCTTGACCTGGGGAGCCAGGACCCATGGTCATATTTCAGCTTCAGGACCCATGGTCATATTTATAAAGGTGTTTCCCACTACCATGTGGAGGGTGCATCAGAGGAAGGAAAAGCAGGGGGCTGAAAGAGGACTAGCTGGACCAAGGTGGGATCAGGGAGGGGAGGAGAGAAGGGGAGGAGAGAGAGGCAGGAGGCCAAATGGACAGGTTGTGAGGCCCTGAGTTCTGCCCTAGATGTCTGTGCTCCTACCTCATAGTAGATACCCTTGTAGTAGCAGCCACACTCCTGGATGGGCACGCAGGCTTGGCCRTTGTAGAGGTAGTCAGGGTCGCATTCACAACCCTCAGCACACACTTCGGGGCACTTCAGGGGCGCACTGAGAGCYGAGCAGCTGAGAGAGCAGGTGTTTGCACACGGCTTATAGTGGCTGTGGGGTGGGCAATCCATGGCTGCAAAAAAGGGATGTCAATCAGAGTGTCTGGTAGGGGGGTGCTGCACGGTGCAGGGTCTACCCCTTCTGTGCCCCAGCCTCCCAGCTCCTGACCCCTGCGTGTCCCCSTCACTCACGACAGAAAGATTCCGTCCTCCAGGGTTCCACGTGGCCTCCAGCCGCCTGGCAGGCGCTCACGTAGGCATGGATGTTGCTGCAGAGGATGGTCAGGTTCCCCTCTCCCAGGCACAGGTCGAAGACGCACTCTTCCAAGGGCCCCTCGGGGGCCACCAGCTTGTGGCAGTTGGCCAGCGGCCCTGTGGTGCTGGCCAGGAGGCCACAGAACTGCTCCTTCTTGTACTTCTCCTCCAGCTCGGGGCTGCAGTGACAGTCCTCGCAGGGGGGCGGCGGCGCGCACGGGGAGTCGGGCACCGCCTCCTCCCAGGAGTTGCCGAAGTCGTTGGGGTCRGCGGCCTGCGAGCCGTCGGGCTTCTGGAAGTCGTCCTTGGAGTCGCCGTTGTAGTCTCCGCACAGGCCACACATCTGCTTGTAGTAGTTGCCCGGGACGGTGACGCGCACGTAGTACATGAGGTCGTAGGCCACCCGCAGGCCGAAGTCGGTCTCCACCACCACGTCGGAGCCGTGCTGGAARGCGCGCACCGCGCCCTCGGCCAGCTCCACCGGCAGCTTCTGGTCCACGCCATCCACCTGGGCGCCAGGGGATGCCACACCTCAGAGGCCACACTTGGAACACAGGGTCAGTGCCTCAAGTGTCCCTGCTTATGTGCCCTCACCTMTCTGGGCCTCCGTTTCCATATTTGTAAATTTTTTTTTTTTTTTTTGGTACCAGTGATTGAATCCAGGGGTGCTTAACCGGAGCCACATCCCCAGCCCTATYTAATATTATATAGGGTCTTGCTAAGTTGTTTAGGGCCTCACTAGGTTGCTGAGGCTGGCTTTGAACTTGTGATCCTCCCACTTCAGCCTCCTAGGCTGCTGGGATTAGGGGTGTGCACCACCTCACCCAGCTCAGTTTCCAAATTTGTAAAATGAATCTAAAAACGGGGTCTTGTAGTAGACTGAATGGTGTGCGGGAAGGTATGTCCCCCTAGAACTTCAGAATGTGATCTCATTTGGAAAAGGGGTCTTTGTGGATGTAATTAGGGTGATTATCTCAAGATGAGACCATCCTGGAGTAGTGTGGGTCCTAAATCCAACAAGGGGTGGCCTTTATATGGCCAGAAGAAGATACAGACATACAGAGAAGGCCACAGGAAGACAAAGGCAGGGATTGGAGTGCTGCCACATAAGCCCAGAAACACCTGGAGCCACCAAAAGCTGGAAGGGACAAGGAAGGAAGCTTCTCTACAGACTGTGGAGGGTCTGGCCCTGCCATGGCATCTAGAATTGTGAGAAAATAAATGTTAGTTTAAGCTACCAATTGTAGCAATTTGTTACAGCAGCCACCTGCAAACTAATGCAGGTTTTAAGGGAATAAGAACCTCACCAGCAGGTCTTAGTATCAACCCCATAGGGTTATTTTCAGGATATCTGTAAGGTGGGCAGGGGTTGTGGCTCAGMGGTGGAGCGCTCACCTAGCCTGTGCGAGGCCCTGGGTTCGATCCTCAGCACCACATAAAAATAAATAGATAAAAATAAAGGTATTGTGTCCAACTACAACTAAAATAAATAAATAAATATTCTTTATAAAAAAAAAACCTGTAAAGTGCTGAGAAAGGGGCTGGTATAGAAAGCATGCTCTGGGAGCATTTGCTGTGATAAGTAGCTACTACTGGAAGTTTCTATTCTGAAGAGTGAATGAGGACTAAGGGTTTCTGCTTTAAGCATCAGTGGGTGGAAACTCAGGCTAAATTTCTGGGGAAATGAACTCCATGAGTTGAGGAACAGTGGAAGACTCTGGGCTCCAGCAGAGCCTTCTTTATTTTGTTTTCATGTGGTGCTATGGATCAAACCCAGTGCCTCACATGTGCAAGGCAAGGGCTCTGCCACTGAGCCCCAGCCCCAGCCCACCAGCAGAGCCTTCTAAATCCTTATCACAGATGTAGTGCACATTGGATTCTTCCAGAAGTGTGAGGAATCAGGGGAGAAGGCAGAGAGAGGCATGCTCTTGGCTGAGTGTCCTAAAACCATAGTCAACCTCTGTATTTTCCAAGCTGGGCTGGGTAGTGACTAAGGGCAAGAGTTAACCTCTGGGCCTTAGTTTCCTCTTCTGCAAAGTGGGCATAATGGTGGTTTCCAACTCATAGGGATGCTGGGGATTCAGGGAGAAGCAAACAAGAACACCAACTCCCATGTGTTTGGAGCTAACTATATGCCAGGCGCTCTTCTGGGAGCTTGGGATATTGTTAGGGAGACATTGAATTGTGCAATGCATGTCCAGCATGCAGGGAACCCCTGATGAAGCCAGCTATGTATCAGCATCCTCACCATTACTGCTACGGAAGAAGGCTGTGTGCCTGTATTTTTGTGGGCTCTCTGGGGAGATCCCTTCATACCTTCTCAATCAGCAAAGCCCCTTAGAGTGGCACAGGGACCAGTCCACTGTCTCCTGGCGCACAAACCTGGGTTCAAATCCTGCCTCTGCTGGGGGACTCTGGGCCAGTGATGGGACCTCTCCCTCTAAAAACGTGAAGCAAATCATGGTCCTTCCAACTACGGTTGCAAGAATAAAATGACAGCGTGCACGCCAAGTGCTTAGCAGCCATCAAGGTCTGGGGCAGCGTGCGGAAGCTGGAGCTGCTTTGCTGCTGTCGTAATGGTTATTATGGGGGTGGCAGGGGATTGTCCTCTCTGCTTGAACCTTCGCCACCCCTGAGTGCCAACACTCCCACCCCACGCAGGCCAACTTCTGGATGCACCACATACCAGCGAGGTGGCTGGGGCAGGGACAGAGTGGAGCTCAGGGGGAGGAAGGGGACAGAGACGTTCAGAATGGGTAGTCAACAGACTGCAGGGAAGAGAGACTGAGCCACACGGAACGGGTCCCAGGTCCCCAAGGACTCTTCTGATCGGCTCTCTCCTCGGGGACCTCTATGCCTCCCACATCCTTCCCTGGCCCTGTGCATCCTGGGCTGAGCCCCACCCCCCTCMATCACCCCCATCCAGGGTCCCTCCCCTGTCCCCTCCCCCGCCCTTACCTTGACCGTCCATTGCATCTGCTCCAGCCGCAGGGTGTGGTTGGCCACCAGCACGGTGATCACCTTGGTGGCACTGACTTTCCCATTGCCCCAAGGCGCGTTCTCCTGCAGGACGGTAAACTGGGGCAGGCCAGGCCGGGTCTTRCAGGTCTGAGCCAGCACATAGACACAGGTGCCCATGAAGTCAAAGCGGCGGCCGTCGAAGCTGGTATAATGGGGGTCTCCCGACGCCTGGCAGGTGACAGAGCCCACGGCCACGCAGCCCAGGACTCCATTGGACGGCTGGCACGCTTCCTGSGGGCCACAGGAGGAGGGCTCACAGGACAGCAGGCCGCCTTCCTGGCAGTGGCAAAAGGTCTCGCACCCGGGTCCGGGGTAGAAGCTCTGGCCCGGCTGGTAGTAGGTGCCCTGGTGAACGCAGCCGCAGGAGGCCAGGGGCACGCAGGAGTCACCACTGAGGGCGAAGCCGTCGTCACACACGCAGCCCTCGTAGCACTCTGTGCCACAGCCCCCGGGCACTGGGAGGTCTCCACAGGACAGTGGGCAGCCGTGGGAACATGCCTCGTAGTGGCTGTGAGGTGGGCAGGTCAGGGCTGCAGGGAGAGGAGCCAATGGCATCAGGAATTCTCCTTCTCGGGTGACACAGTCCCCCCCCACCCCCGCAACACACACACTCACAAATGACCACCTACAAGAAGCCCTTATGTCCAGCAGCGCCTGGGAACACCCTGCATCACAATCTGATCCTGCTAAATTTTATATTTTTCTGGTCCTGGGATGGAGCCCTGGACCTGGAACATGCTAGGCACGCACTCTCCCACCGACCTCCACCCCAGCTCTGATCCCTAAGAGGAAGATCCTAGTCCCATGTGACCATGGCTCAGCATTGTCTGAAATGTCTTTAATGACTTTATTTACGTTGGGTATAAATTGCTGATCCGTGGTACATATTTTAAGCATGCAGATGTGTGCGCGTGTGTGTATACTCTATGCAATATATTTGTGAATGCAGTATTTCTAGCTCCTTCCTTTTGTGTAGTAATTAAAAAGTTTGTTGTTTTTAGTGAGTTTTAAGTATTTAGTAATATTTCATGATTTCAAAATAATGATTCATACTAAATTTTAGTATTTAAAGTACTTAGTGTTGTCATGATCAAAAAAAAAAAAAAAAAAAAACCCAAACCCAAAACACTTCCCTTTACTCTGGTGGGTAAGACAGGCAGCTTCCTCAAAAACAAAAAACAAAAAAAGGAAAGACTAAAAACTGAACCAAATCAAATCTCCTCCTGTGGCCATTTAAATGTAATGAAAATATGGGGTTCCATTTATATATATTAAAAAAACTTTAGGAGTCAGAATAGTGGTGATCTTGTGAGGTAGGGGACCTGAAATTTTTATTTTTTTCTTGAACTTGCAGCTATTGGCACAGATTTGTTCTTCTACTGAAAATGGAGCAAGCTGTTTATTATGATATGTACATATTCTTCATATGTGTATTATATTTGAACAATAAATAAAAAATTCAAAACTCAGGTGAGCCTGCCTTTCCAAATTTCTTTTTTTTWAAATMTTTATTTATTTATTTATTTTTATGTGGTGCTAAGGATAGAACCCAGCGTCTCACACGTGCTAGGTGGATGGTCTACTGCTGAGCCCCAGCCCCAGCCCCTCCAAATTTCTTTAATAGGCAAGAAAAATGTTTGCCAACTGATCCTGCACTCATGGCTGAAGCAAGGCCCTCAGGAGCCAGGTAGATGTTGTAAATAGGTAAAGTGGGCCAGATGGTGACCGAGAACTGGAGAGGGAACCAAGCTCCTTGGAAAGGCAGCACCTCTGGATTATCTCTGAATGACACCTGTCACGTGAGACTCTGACCCAGGGCCACCAGATGGACTCAGTCATTTTACAAATACTGGCTGCATCTGTACTGTCTGTGACTTCCTGGCTGTCTGTGTAACTTTCTTAACCTCCGTTTCCCACTCTGCTAAATGGGTCTGTACAACCCTAATCCCCACCTCACTAAGCAGTTGTAAGGATTCAATGAATGAATGACACTTGTGCATGAATGAAAATACGTAAGACCGWGACCCCCAGGTGCCACTCTTGGTACTCACGGCAGAATTCCTCGGTCCTCCAGGGTTGCACGGTGGCCCCAGCGGCCTGGCAAGCCTCGGCGTAGGCAGCTAAGGCCTCACACAGCAGCTCGGACTGGCCGGGCAGCAGGCAGAGGTCATAGACACAGTCGCGCACTGCCCCCTGGGGGTCCACCTTGCTGTGACACTCCCGGAAGGGCCCCGAAGAGTCGGCAAGGATTCCACATTCCTTCTTGCTCTGCACCTGCTCGGTCACCAGGGAGTCCAGCTTGGGACAGTTGCCAGGCTCGCCCGCTCCACAGGTGTCGGGGCTGGGCTCCTCCTGCCAGCTGTTTCCAAAGTCCAGAGCGTTGGCAGCCTGGCCTCCGCCCCGCAGAGCCAGGTCATCAGACGGGTCCCCGTTGAAGTTCCCACAGAGCCCACACAGGGCCTTTGCATAGCTGCTGGGCACCTTGACGGTCACGTGGGCGTCCCAGTTGTAGGTGACGGTCAGGCCAAAGTCGGTGCGCACGACGGCATCCCTGCCCTGGCGGAACACTTGCACACGCCCGTCTGCGGCTTGGAAGGGCAGGTTTTGGAGGATGCCATTCAACTGGGCAGAGAGGCAGGAGGGGGAACGGGTCAGGGCACTGGTGGCTCTGTGGCCCACCCCTCCACCTGGCCCCAGTGACTCTGACCTCTTTGTTACTCTCGTCAAACATCACGTTTGGTCCTCCTTCGGGCCCTCTGCGCTGGCCCTTCCCACTTTCTGGAATACCACCCATCACTCTCCGTCTGGTAACCTCTGCCTCATCTTTTAGGTGTCAGCTTTGATCCACCAGATGGACTCAGTCATTTTACAAATACTGGCTGCATTTGTACTGTCTCTGGTATCCCTTATCATGGCCTTGAAGTCCCCATTACTCTCCAATCTAATCTCCCAGGACAGCATTTCAACCTACCCTTGGCAACTCCAGTCATGCAGGCATCCCAGACGCACCAAGCTCCTCCCGGCCTCAGGGCCTTGGCACCCGCTGTACCCCTTGCTTGTGGCACTCCCACCTTCTTCCACATCCCCATTCTTTGCCTGGCTACTGACATCTTATCCTTCACAATCAGTTTAAAATTGAACCCGTCTACCCACAAGTCCCTACTTGTCCCCACCTTTTTGACCTCTTCTCCTAACAACTGCTCTATCCTGCCTTCCAACTTCACTCCTGATGTACATCCCGCTGGCCTCCGTGCTGTTCTATGCTCTTCAAGTTCAGTCCAACTCTGTCTTTGTTCCTGCTGTTCCCTCTGACTACAGGCCACCACTCTTCATCTGGTGGCCTTCCCCTCCTCTTTCAGGCTCAGCTGAGAGCACAAGCCTGATCCCAGCCAGCCCCTGCCTCAACTCCTACCCCAGCCTCACTCCAGCCCCACTGGCCTCCTTGCTGTCCCTCAACTCTTCCAACTTATTGCCGTTCCAGGACCTTTGCACTTGCTGTTCTTCTTTCTGGAACACCCTTCTGTCTACTTTTCTCCCTGCCAGTCCATCTCTTTCTTCAGAACAGGCAAGACAGTATCATGGGTAAGAGGACAGACTCTGGTCTTACACATACACAGTGGAGTGTTATTCAGCCATAAAGAAGAATGAAATTAAGGCATTTGCCGGTAAGTGGATGGAACTGGAGACTATCATGCTAAGTGAAATAAGCCAGCCCCCCAAACCAAAGTCTGAATGTTCTCTCTGATGTGCAGATACTGACTCACAATGGAGAGGAGGAGTGGAGATTCACTGGATTGGACTGGGGAATTGGGGAAGGGAGGGGAGATGGGAACAGGAAAGAGTGGAATGAATTGGGCATAACTTTCCTGTGTTCATATGTGAATACACAACCAGTGTAAGTCTACATCATCTACAACCACAAGAATGGGAAGTTATACTCCATGTGTGTAGGATATGCCAAAATACATTCTACTGTCATGTGTAACTAAAAACAACAAATAAAAAATTAAAAAAAAAAAAAAACAAGAGTACAGACTCTGAAGCTAGTTTGTCTTCAAACTCTTAACTCTGCCACTCACTAGCTGTGCGACCTTGAGCAGGTGACTTAACTTCTCTGTTAACTTCTCTGTGCCTCAGTTTCCTCACCTAAGACTACTACTTTTTTTTTCATTTAAGATGAAATGAACTAATACATGTTGAGCATTTAGTACATTGAAGTAACTGAATATATGTTGGCTATTATTATTCAAGACTCAGGCAAAATGTCATTTTAGAGAGGTGGGAACGTAAGTATATAATAATAATTACGCCCTCTGTTTATCTGAAGCCTTTTCTGTGCCAGACACTGGATTTATGGGTGAGGTTTCCTTTGGCCCAAGGCTGCTGTGGGGATCAGGGGTTAAGGTACCTGAAGGGTTTAGCCCAGCACCTGGCACGCGGACCGTGCTCTTGATCTCCCATTTCTGGTTCAATCATCTACCTCCCCAGGGCCTGGGCCAAACCTGCTCAATAACATTGATTAGCTATTGTGTGAAYGTCCCCAAAACCCCACTTCTCCACTTCTTTTTAAAAGAACATCATTGGTTTTTACTTTCACTCTGTGGGCCTCTGGGAGTCCTGCCCCATCATGATCTGAGAGGTTGGGAGAGGAACTCTGCTGWCCACCAACACACAACCCTGCGAGTGACCCCAGTGGCACATATCACCCAACACATCCCCTAGCTCTCTGAAAATCCACCCTCCTCCAGCAAATGTGCAAATCTACCATTCTGAAGGCTCCCAACATCAAACACCACAGCAGACAACATCTGCTGAACACTTGATGACAGTGGCACCTGTGTGTCAACCTCATGGTGCAGATGCACCTACGAGGGTGGCTCTCTGCAAGTCCTCTCTATATAACCCTTCCGAGGTTCATTCATGACATCCGCACAATCACCCCGTGAATGGTGGATCCTTATTCCCTTTAACATAGGACAAAACTGAGGCGGTGAGAGACAGTCACACACCCAAGGAGGGACAGTACGTCCTGGATTAGGGACCTGGGCCTTAACCAATGGCCACAGATCTTCGAGCCGTCCCCCAACCCTAACCTGAACCCAGAATCACCAATCCTAGGGCGCACTTCCTGCGCTCCACCCAGCCTGGGCTCGGGGTCACTCACCAGGGCTTGGCTCGGGTTCTCTCGGCGCACGGCCACCTCCACGCCATAGGCCTCCACTCGCACGGCGCGCGTGTAGCTCACGGTCTTGCTGCCCCGATGCTCGTTTTCCACCAGCACCCGGAAGGTGGGCAGCGCCGGGTCCTGGCCGCACGAGCCCACCAGCAGGTACATGCAGGTGCCCATGAAATCGAAGCGCCGGCCGTCGAAGCTCACGTAGTGCGGGTCCCCAGACGCCTGGCAGCTCCCGAAGCTGGTGGGGTAGCACCCCAGGAGGTCGTTCTGGACTTGGCACAGCTCGCCCTCCGGGCAGCCCTTCACGCTCTGGCAACTCACCGTGTGGGTGGCGCCGTCGCAGGTACAGCGCTGGCTACACTGATCATCGGCCCAGATGGCCTGGCCGGGCGCCAGGAGTTGGCCCTCGTAGGTGCATCCGCACGACGAGGCTGGCACACAGGCGCCGCCGCTCATCACGAAGCCCTCCCGGCACACGCAGCCCTCCACGCACGAGCGCCCGGAGCAGTTGGCGGGTGAGGCTTCTGAGTTGCAGGTGGCGGGGCAGGGGGGCGCGCAGGGCTCGTAGGTGCTGTTGCCGGGGCAGGACATGGCTGCGGGAGGAGGGGAGTGGGTCAGCAGGGCCCTCGGGATGCCCCGCACACCCTGCTACTCTGTTGGAGCCTGCCATCTCAGTTAATGCCACTTTCATCCTTTCCAGGGCTCAGGTCCCAACCCTCAAAGGTGTGTGGCCTTTCTCCATCCTGTTGGCTGGACAACCAATCTGTGGGTAAATCATGTGAGCTCCAGGTTCAAAACACACCCAGAATCTGATCTGCTTCCTTGTCCCATCCGGGGCAGCAGCCTCCTCCTGCCTGGTCTTCTTGCTGCTGCCCCCACCATCTGTCCTCAGCCAGAGAGGACGCGGGTCAGGTCTCGTCTCTCCCCATTTCAGAGTCTTCCTATAGCTCCATCTTTCTCAGGCCTTTCTCCCAAAGCCCACAGGACCCACACCAACTGCCCTCACCTCTTTCACTCCCTCTCTGTCCCAGTCATGAGGATTTCTCCCTGGTCCTCAAATTTCCACATGGGGGCCTTTGCAAGGCCAATCCCTCTGCCTGTGTCACCCTTGCCTCCAAAAGACAATGTGGTGCAAGGTCAAGTGCGAGTCTACTGGAGTCCAGGCRGCCTGAGTGCAAGTCCCAGATCTCTTAGCTGTGGAATTATGAGTAAATCACTCTGATCTCCCTGTGCCTCAGTTTCCCCATCAGGAACGGGAAATGATTCCGTGCTGACCTCACAGGGTTGGTGTGAGAATTAAGTGAGTTAGTCTACGCAGAGGTGCTCGGTGAATATCACCATCATTACATAGCTGACTCCGTCACCAGGCCCTGTTCTTGGCTCTAGAGTTACCTGTTAACACTTTGCGAGTCTCTCATATACTTGTTTCAAGAACTCGCTTTCTTTTGTTTTCTGAAGATATTTCCTGTCTCCTAAACACACCTCTGGGAGTCTTACAGGGGCAGGGGTGGGTCTCTGTGGATCCTCACTGTGTCTTCAACATTGGCATGGCACAGGGCTGGGGAGATCACAGAGTATTTGTTGACTGAATGACTGATTAAGCGGATGAACACCTGGTTACAGAGCTTGGGCTGGGGGGGTATGCAAGGAGCATAAGCAGAGGAAGACAATTGTATTTCCGCCTTGGAATTCTGCAGACTGTTTCTCCTGCCAAGCTTCAGGCCATGATGTTCCCTGAGCCTAGAACCAACTTCCTCCTCCTTTTTTCCTGGCAACTTCCAACTCTCCTCTGGGTTTTGGATCAAATATTACTTTTTTCCAGGAAAYCCTCCCCCAAACTCTCCCCAAGATGGATCAAGAACCTTCTTTGGTGTCCCATAGTCCCCTTGAACTTCCCCCATCCCAGCCCTGACCACTCTGTCCATGCCTCCCCCATCACAGCCCAGACCATTCCAGTCTGTCACTGTCTGGTGATATGTCCACCCCAACCCCGGGTTCACTGTGAACACAGCCTGGCTGTGTCGGCCACTACTGTGTCCCAGGCATTGTCCAGCACCAGGCTGACTGGTGCTCAGATACTGAGCAGGAGCAAGAGGTCCCCTGCCCCTCACCATGTGCTCCYAGCCCCCCACCCACGGCACCACTTACAGCAGTTGACTGGTGACCTCCAGTCTCCGACAGAGATGCCCAGCTCCGTGCAGGCCTGGGCATAGGCGCCAAGGGCACGGCACAGGCTGATCCGGTCCCCGCCAGTCGCGCACAGGTCGTATATACAATCCTCCAGGAACAGGTGGGGATCCAGGGATTCATGGCAGGCTGCGAAGGGGCCTTCGGGCACGGTCAGCACGCCACAGACACGGCTGTCTCCGTACTGCTGGGTCTGGTCTGGGGTGCAGGAGGGACAGTTGTTCTGGCAGCCATCATCACACAGGTAGTCACCATCATCTAGCTTCCAGCTACTGGCAAACTCCACGATGTCAGAGACCAGAGTCCCGTCCGGAGTGAGCAGGTCGTCACCAGGGTTGTTGTTGTAGTTGCCGCACAGACCGCACACCTGGTTTTGGAAGCGCTCAGGCAGGCTTATGGCCAGGTGGGCGTCCCAGTCATAGGTGACCACCAGCCCGAAGTCCAGCTCCACCACGGCCTTTGTCCCACTCTGGTACACTCGCAGGCGACCCTCRCTCAGGGAGGCCGGCAGGCGTGAGCGCTGGTTGTCGATCTGCAGAGGAGGTCCGGGTGGTGGTGAGATAGAGATCTCCTCCCCTCCTCATTTCCCCTTTCTACCACATTCCCTTCCTTCCTTCTGGATCCCATCAAAGCCTCACAAATTTGCCCTTGCAATTCCCATGCTCCCAAATATGTTCTCCCCCAGATATTTCATATATATATATATATATATATATATATATATAGAGAGAGAGAGAGAGAGAGAGAGAGAGAGAGAGAGAGAGAGMACACTCACACTCACATCCTCACCTCCTATGAAATATTTGCTCAATGTCACTGATCTAGTGAGGCACTCCCAGGTTACCTTATTTTAAGTAGCAACTCTTCCCTAATCCCTATTCTCTCTCCCTGTTTTCCTTTTTTTCACATAGCTTTTAATTTTCTCAAACATAACTTGTGCTGGGTGAGTGTATGGCCTGTAATCCCAGGAACTTGAGAGGCTGAGGTAGGAGGATCCCAAGTTTGAGGTTAACCTCAACAACTTACCTAGCAAGGTCCTAAGCAACTTAGTGAGATCCTGTCTCATAAATAAATAAATAGATAGATTGATAAATAAAATGGGCTGGGGATGTAACTCAATGGTAAAGTGCCCCTGAGTTTAATCCCCAGTACCAATGTATATGATTTGCAAATCTCTCACATTTATCATCTAATTTCACTAGAATGTTAGTTCCACTAAGATGGGTTTTTGTCAGTTTCCATCACTATTTTATCTCCACTGCCTACAACAGAGCCTGGTAGAATAGCAGGTGCTCAATAAATTTATGAAATCAGTGCTACAACTAAATAAACACCCCTCAGACACTCACTCTGCAACTGGCCCTGAGGTGGGAGATACTGGGGTACAACAGGGACCAAGACTGCCCCATGCCCTTACCCTCATGGATTCCAAATCCACTGGGAGAGACAGATCCATTACTGACTAAATAGTGACAGCTCAGAGTGGTCAGGACCAGGACTAGGGAGGCACAGGCAAAAGAGTCTGGGTTGGTTTGGTTTGGGAGCCTAGAAAAAGGACCACACCAAATCCTGCCAGTCAAGAAAGATTTCCCAGAGGAAGGGATAGCTGAACTGAACCTTAAAGGATCAACAGGACAGAGTCAGGAAATCAGAGAGGAGAGGGATTTTCCTGTGATGAATAGTCAGGAAATTAATACAAGTGGTTATCTGTGGGGAATAGGAGGAAGGTAGATAAAGACAGGAGTAGAAATGAGACTTTTTATAATATACCCTTCTAATTTTTAAATTTATTTTTATTTTTCTAATTTTGGTACTGAGGCTTGAATTCAGGGGTACTTGACCACTGAGCCATATCCCCAGCCCTATTTTTGTATTTTATTTAGAAACAGGGTCTCACTGAGTTGCTAAGTGCCCCGCAGTTGCTGAGGCTGGCTTTGAATTCGAGATTCTCCTGTCTCAGCCTCCCGAGCTGCTGGATTTCAGGTGTGTGCCACGGCACCTGCCCATTTTATTTTATTGAGACAGGGTCTCCCTAAGTTGCTGAAGGTCTCATCCCATTTCTGAAGCTAGCCTAGAATTTGTGATCTTCCTGCTTCAGCCTCCTAGAGGCTGTGATCACATGTGTGTGCCACCTGGCTAATGTGACATTGTCAGCCAGGCAAAACTAATCTGGGGGGCGGGGAATGGAAACCGTTTCTGTGCTGTTATTTGTTCAGGCTGAGTAGGAAGGCATTTACCAGAGGCAGAACAGAGACTCAGGAGCCAGCCTGGCCCTGTTCCTAGAGCCATCTCTTCCTAGCTTCTTGGTAGCTGTTGGCCTTTGGGAGCGGCTCAGCTTTTCAGCCTCAGTTTCCTCAACCATCCCTGTTCATAATTCCTATCTCACCGAGTTGCCGTAAGCACCACATTTGGATCAATGCAGGGAAAGTGCTAAGACATAAATCGGGCACCTAGTAGGTGCTCATTTACTTTAGCGATGGGTTCACTTCAGAAATCCCCCATTGTTGGAAACCTTTCTTTCCTGTTTTGCTTTTGTCATTACAGACCATGTGGCATATGCTTTTTATCTAATCATCTCTCTAGGCATTACTTAAAATTTCTAGAAGTTTCTAGAACATTTTCTAGAGAAAAGGGTTTTAAGGTCCTGCTACTGATTTTCAACTCCTCCCTTCCCACCTCCCCTCCCTCCCTCCTGGGACCACTCCACATCCTCCACCCCAACAGGTTTTGGGGTTGGGGTCTAACACCAGGGCTTAAGGCTTGGCCTCCAGACTGGGAGCTCGTGGGTGTTAAACCCGAAGCCTCCCAACACTCACCCTGGCGAAGCCAACTTCCCCGCGGGCCAGCGACACGGAGTGGCTGTAGGCAAGCACGGTGACGTAGCCCACGTAGGAGACGAGACGGCTGTTCCTGTGCTCGTTCTTGGCATTGACGCTGAAGGCAGGCAGGGTGTCGTCCTGCCCGCACAGCTCGGCCATCGTGTAGGAGCAAGTGCCCATCATGTCGTAGCGACGCCCGTCGAAGGTGGTGTAATGAGGGTCACCCTGGGCGCGGCAGACGGCTGTGGGATCCCGCACGCATGAGGTCTTCCTGCCCTGGGCCCGGCAGTGCTGCCCGGCTGGACACTGCACACCTTGGCAGGGGTCCGCAGAGGACCGTCCAGCTGGGGAGGGGGCAGGGTGGAAATCAAGAGTAAGAATCGTCCCCAGGGGCAGATCCTGGGGTCCTCCCACCCTGGGGAACTTGGACGGTTTTCTCCCAGCAGCGCACTTCGGAGTCCAGGAGAGCTCCTCTGGTCCCCCCAGAAAACCCCAGGCTTTCCGATTCCCCATTTCAACACAGCTTAGCCCAGAAGAATGGAAAGTAGCAAAGCAGGACCCCGAACAGTCCCTGAAATGTTCCTTTGTGTTTTTCTCTTCTTCTTTCCCTCTCTGCCCTGCCTTCCCACCAGGCTGGAAAGGCTAAGGGACGCTTTAAAGGACAGACCATGCAATACAGAGACTATTCAGCAAAATGGAAATGACCGTGGRGTAGGCTTCCTGGGTGGGAATCCTGGCCTGCCAGCTCTGTAACATGGGCTTAGCTATTTGAAATGCTCGGGCCYCACTTTCTTCATTTGTAACAGGAGAACCTCGATGATCCCTCTCCATCAGGATCTGGGGGTAGGGGGGGTATTGTCAGGTTTAAGTAAGCTATACCTTGGAGTTTGGAACTGAACCGAGTGTGAGATGTACCTGTTATAATTAGCCACTCACCGGTCCCCCATTCTACTACTCAAGCCAAAAGTGGCCCCTTGAAGTCAGATGGCATCCACGCCCTGGAGGGCAGGGAGAAGGGACATTTTTGCCAGGATAGGGAGCCCTAGTGTCAAGGGTCCTATCTTAGAGAAGACCACCAAGGAAGAAACAGCCCCTCCCTGTCTGCCTCCCTCTCCTCAAACACCCCTGCCTCCCTACCCTTCCTAACAAAGCTCCCCCTACCACTGCCCAGAAGTGCTTTACACTTAACCATCGTCACCCCGACTAAAATCCTGTGACCAGGGTGCAGCTCTTATCCCAGTTTTAACTGATGTTGAAACTGAAGTCCCGAAAGGTGAAGTCACATGCCCAAGGTCTCCCAAGCAAAGGTGGCATTTAAACCCTAGGCAAATTTGCCTCTAACCTCTGTGTCCTCACATGCCACCCACCTTCACTGCCTGGTGGCAGCTCCTCAATTGGAAGCCCCCAGGTCCTATTCATTAATCATGTCAAAAGGTGATGTACCTAGAAAGATCTTGGATTCCTTGAGAGATACCTGCCCCCCTCATCATTATTATTCTGGTTTTTTTTGGGGGGGGGATACTGAGGACTAAACTCAGGGACACTCGGCCACTAAGCCGTATCCTCAGTCCTATTTTGTAGAGACAGTGTCTCACTGAGTTGCTTAAAAGCCTCACCATTGCTGAGGCTGGATTTAAACTCGAGATTCTCCTGTCTCAGCCTCCCGAGCCACTGGGATTACAGGTGAGCACCACCGCACCTGGCTATCCTCTTAGATCTTCTGAGTTTAGTTATCAACAATTTTATAGGAGACATGAGAGTAGCATTCGTAGAGCTGCATTAGCTGCTAACATGTCAAAATATTTCCAAATTGGTGGGTAAGACGCTGCTGACCTGACCCCTCCCCAATGATCCTTCTACCTTGGCACCTGGCCTCTCCCCTAGTAACCCATCCCTGAGATGTACCTGTTATATGTACCTCCTCACCAGCCAACAGGAAAGGGGTGATGCTGGTATAATGGAGGCTTCCTGCTGCAGTGTTCTGGCTGGGGCAACTTCTGACTGGTTGTGCCCTGGATTGCTCGGGTTGCTAAATATCTAGAATATCATATCGTTCCTGGGTGTATGTGTGGGTGGGGAGAGGGGACTGAAAAAAGGGATGTTAGGGAAGATGGACCTGAGAGGTGGACAGCTCAGCTGAGCCAGGGAGCCACCGAGGAACAGGTAAGTAGGAAAGGGGTGGCCAGGTGGTCAGGGCCTGGGGTCACTTACTGCAGGTAGCTGTTGTCCCGAGGCCCACAGCCTGGGCCAGCCCGAAGAGGAGCATTCCAAAGTTGGTAGTTGCCTCAGCCCTGTGGATGGCTTTAGCAGTGCTGAGGTCCACTTCAGCGTAGGAGAACTGACTGCCCTGCACAGGMGCCCAGGTGAGTGTGGATCCCAGTTGGTGCCCATCCATGGTCAGCCCGCTGGTGTCTTTTGTYGGTACCACCAGTATGACCACGTCCTCAGAGTCTGGAATACTCCTGATCACATAGGAAGAGCAGTAGGCTTCCACATCTGGGATCAGGATCAGGTAGGGGTCATAGGTCACATCATTCCTGTCRGCACCTGTGCCAAACAGCACGACCTGGATGCCCACATCGGCAGACAGGGTGAGTGGCTGCTTTGGCTTGACCTGCAACTCAAACACGTCACCCATCTGGAGCACCCGGGAGCCAGGGGTACCCCCCTGGTTGTAGGTGAGGTTTGTGGTCTGGCTGGCCACAATGTAGACCAGATCGTAGTTAGACTGGGCGGCCAGAGGGGGGACCACATATTGTTTGCCCCAGGCGGATGTGGGTAACARCTGTTCCATCACGAAGTCGCACTTCGTGTGCTTCTGGGCACAGCTGTGGCCAGAGAAAACAGCTACGGGGTGGTTGGCTGTGACCTTTGACCCCGAGAGATCAACTTTGCTCTGTAACTGGACCGATTCGTAAGAGTTCAGAGTCACCTCTAGGACACTGCCGGCTGAGTAGGATTTGCCCTTGAACGTCACTGCCCCCTTCAGGAGGACGCTGACCTCAGCACCTTCGGAGCCAGCCAACACTGCAAACTCCCTGACATTTCGGGTTGAGATGTCAGTAGGTGTGACCACAAAGTACTCTGTGCCCAGGGCACTGACAGGTTGCAACAGCGTCAGGTCCGCTGAGCTGGGCTTAGCATTTAACGCCTGCACGGAGATGTTTTGGTCAGAGTGAACCTCTACCGCACCCATAAAGGTATTGGTGCCGGACATCTCAGCCTCAGCAGTGATGTTGACTGTGACTGTCTGCCCAGGTTTCACTGTGACCGTCTGCGAGGTTTTATCTGCGTGGCTSATGATGGAGACCGTGGCGATGTTTTCTGACAAACTGGAGATGAAGAGCTGGAGACTGGCCTTGCTGTACCCGGCCTGGTAATTCTGCAGGAAGGTCGCCAGGAAATCCTCCCCGCCAGCATTCTTGGGGGTCGCTGTGACCTCCTGGGTCAACCCTTAAGAAAACGCAGTTGTGGGTCCATTTATCTAATCCTCCCCATCCGAGAGCCAAGCCCTYGCCCTCTGTCTGAAAACATGTTGAAATAATTGCACCCCCCCCACCTCTTTATTTTCTTAATACTCATGCAACATTCATCTGTAAACCCTTCTGGCTTTTTTTTTTCTTCCCCCCAAAGCCAAACACTTTAAATCTGGCTCTCAAGCTTAAGTGCTACCCGGGCCAGGCCAGTAGTACAAACTGGAAAACCAGAGCACATATACAACTACCCAAAGCAGGTTGTTGCTACTAGATTTAGCCAGTTATTAGGAGGGATTGTGGCCCTTTCTTTTTTAATACTTTACTTCCCTTCCTTTTTTTCTTTAGTACTGGGGATTGAGCCAAGGGCCCTCTACCACTAAGCTACATTTCTTTTTATCTTTTTTGATGCAGGGCCTCACTAAGTTGCCGAGGCAGGCCTCGAAGTTGCAATCCTCCTCCCTCAGCCTCCTGAGTAGCTGGAATTATGGCACCACTGCATCCAACYATGTTCCCGTTTTTTAAGAAAAACGATCTGAATTTTTCTGGGAAATTGCCAACCCCAAATTGTTTTGTGCACCAAAGGGCACACACTGACTGAAGTCAGCTGCTAGTATATAAATTCTGTCTTCATAGGACTTGGGGGTTTGTGAAGAGGATAAAAGGAAGAAGGGTATTACGAAAGAGAGGACAGTGTATCTTCTAAAAGTAGAGGCAAGTGGGGCTTCCCAACATCCCTGAACAGGGGAAGAGAGAAAGACAGAGACAGAGAGAGGGGAAAAAAATGGGTGAATTCCACATTTCTCTGCAGAACCTAAAGGTCTCTCTCTCATGTCAGTAGCCAGGAGGATCTTGAGAGGTAGGTTTGTGGTACTAACCCAGGCAGGCAGAGTTTCCCAGATTGGAACCAGGACATGGATGAGGGATGGATCTGACTTACCCCACAGGAGGGCTGCTCCGGCCCAGAGTGTCCACCAGCTCCACAGGGAACCCATGTCTGCGGTAGGGAAAGAGAAGGGGTCATAGGAGGTTTGCCTGCTGGTCCTGCCAGAGACTATCCTGGCGAGGACAGAAGGGGCCAGTCTCAGGACAAGGTTTACTTGGGCACTAGCAAGACTGAGGCAGGAAGAGAACTTGGGTAGTTGAGGCAAGGTGGGCCCAATCCAAGGGTGTGTGTGTGTGTGTGTGTGTGTGTGTGTGTGTGTGTGTGGTGTGTGTGTGTAGGGAAGGCTGAATGTCCAATAGGTGGTGGGATGAAGTGGAAGAGGTAGGAACCAGGGACGAGGATGAGGACTTGGCGGTTCAGAGGGTCCAGGGAGGAGAAGGGTTTGGAGCCAGAGGCAAGAGTAGGGGACTTGCTGTTCAGTGCTGTTCCACTTCTGTGGGGGACCCCAGCCCTTCTCACCTGCAGGTCCCTGGAGCTTTCGGGTGCACCTGCAGGCTGGGTTATATAGGGGAGTTTCTTAGCCCCTCAGGCCACGCCCGGGGCCACCTGCCAGGCAAATGATGCCAACTTCCTGGAGGAGGCTGCMGATCTCAGGGCCAGGTGGAATGGGGAGCCCCGAAGGCCTGGGCAGGGTGGAGTCGGGAGCCTGGGTGCTGAGCGGGGTGTGAGAACAGCTGGTGGCTGTGTCCTTGGAGTCSACGAGAAATGTCGTACAAATGACTGGAGGGGTGGCATTCCCGAGGGAGACAGCTGGGGAGCAGGGTGCCRTGAGCCTGGGTCTGGGCAGGGGTTGGGTGGAGTGGGGGTGGGGAGCAGGGAGGCAGCGTTCTTGATGTTTGCTGGCTCACTGGCCAGACTTCTTCCTTTGGCCCCTGCCGGGAACAATAGCAAAAAGCCCATATCCGGGTCTGGACTCCTCCCCAGTCCCCCTGGGCTGATSGCTGGTCCCCAGCCACCCACATCCTGTTTCTAGGCACCAATCTGGGGCCAGTGTCTGGAGATGGGCATGGCTCTGAGGCCTAAACCACGGTGAGGGACACSATGCCTCCATCCCTAGTCCAGTGGAGGCTGTGCGTCAGGCCAGAGGCCTGTGTTTCCTGGTTTCATGCAGACATGTGGGTTTTGCTTCCTGTAGAATTATTTAGTTTGGGATTTGTTTTATTTTGTCCTGTGGGGATGTTTTTTTTCCATTAGAAGGGACTGGCTGAACAGGTTTTGGGTCATTGTGTCCTCTGCACACCCCAGAATTTGCCTGAGAAGAGACATGGGGGTCATGGGGGGCACACACCGAGCAGAAGAAATAGCCCAGAGGTCCCGTGGGCTGGCTGAGACGGAGTCAGTCCTTCCCGGAGGGCTGCCTGACCCATGCTCTGCTCCCCTCCTCCTGACCTCTGGAATCCTTGTTTGCTGAGGAGTCTCCCCTAGAAACAGCAGCTGCAAAGCCTAGCTGTCCTCTCGGTCAACACCCCAGCAGCTGCTGGCCCCAGGACTCCTCCTTCCTTATCGCTGAGGCCTGGACCTCTGGGCAGCCATGGTGGGTGGAGGCTTTTCCCTCCCTGGGGCTCTGGCCACCTCTGCAYCCACCCAGGGCAGGTTCTCAGAGCAGAAGATAAAGGCTCAAAGTTGACTGGGATCTAAAGTCAACCAGGAAAGYGACCTGGATAAATAAGAGACTGGAGAAAAGCCAGAGGGGCAAGAAAGAGGCAGGGGTGGGGACCCTGGAAAAGTGGGAGCTTGGGAGGAGGGCYGTCTTGGTGCCTGAGGAGTCTGAGGGTTGGGAGAGAGGACCACTGGGTCCCTGAGGGGAATCAGGACTGGGAGGCCACTGGGATTCCTGAAGAGGGAACAGTGACTGCCAACCAAGATGCTGGATTCTTCCACGTGGATACCCCTCTTGTCCTCTAAGACAGATACATTAGGATGAGCTTTCAGGGGGTGACTGTGGCCCTCAGGCCCCTCTAGACTTTGGGGTCTCCCCTGGTTAACATCAGAGAGAAGCCTCCCCCTTCAAAGTCCATCCATGCTTTCTGCAGCCGGAGTCCCTTCCCCGGCGGGGTGACAGGCAACCTCACAAATTCTCTGTATTTGACAATCCTCTGGGACTTTTTCTATTTCTCCTTTCAGGTGTGTTACGACACACCCCTGGGCCCTACCCCATATTATACCTATTCTCAGGAATCCCACTGCTGACCCAGGAAATAACCTCTGGGGACACTTCCTTATGGTCAGAGAAACCACATTTATTCTGCTGCAGGCTCCTTGCTCTGAGCCCAAACAAGGGCGTTTGTACCTCTGCGCCTTTCAGCCTCCCTCTGTGCACAGGGGGTTATCAATCGTACGCCATTCCAGACCCCCGGAACCCTTTGGCTTGTGTGGTCTTTATAGACCAAGGCACAGCTGGAGAACACTTACCCTCTCCAGCTAAATTTATATTTGGCAGAGATTTCTAACTTCCTTCTGACTTCATTCCGACATGCTCTGGATCCCAGGATCTGATTTCCATTTGCCAGGGAACTGTTTTTCCTAAACTCTCCAAAGACCTGTTATTTACCAGGTGGTTCTAGTTCCTTCTCTGGAACATTTGACATCCACACATTCTCTGTGAAACTGTCTAGTGCCCTGTTTCACTTTCTTCAGGATCTTGCGTTAATTTGGTCTGTTTTCTAATATCACCTCTTTAACATTGGGGATTCTCAGATTCTCTCTCTCTCTCTCGTTTTTACTTCTTTTACTAATTTCTCCTCCCCCCTGCTAGGAAAGGCTCCTTAAGCTGTCCGATATGACTTTTTTGCAGTGATAGGAACTTTATATTTTGTGTTGTGGGACTTGTGTGGCTATTGACCCCTTGAAATGTCACTGATGTGGCAGGGGAACTGAATTTTTAACTTAGTTACATTTAAGTGGCTAATTGTGTGTAGCTCCCATATTAGCACAAAATTCTAGGGCTGTTGGTAGCACAGGCCCCATTTCATCTACTTATCTAGCTGCCTATGTATCCACCCAACCACATATCTCATTGCTTAGTCTTTTTTATACTCCTTTGCCATCCTTGTTGTCTTTTTATAGGCAATCATTCTGATGTGATTCATGGGTCTGTTTTAAAAACATTTTATTGAAATAAAATACACAAATTAATATGTACACAAATCATAAATGTATACAGCTCTTTAAATTATCACAAAATGAACACACCCTATAACCTTCACCCAGGTTTGAAAAGAAGATTCCCGCATCCCAGAAGCCCTCTAAATACTCTTGTTCCACCACTATGCACTCCATACCTCCCATAGGTAGCCGGAATTTTGACTGCTAACACCACGGATTATTGTCCTTGTTTTTGAATTTTATGTGAATAGAATCATACGTTTGTATCATTTTGTGATTGGCTTGTTGTAATCCATGGTATCCTTGTACATGTAAATTACAGTTTATTTTCTATGCTACTCAGTTGTATAAAAAAACACCACATTTTTACCCATTCTGCTATSGAGCATCCCTATTATTTCCACTTTGGGCTAAAAGGATTCAGTCTTTTGGTGCACACATTTGCAATTTCTTTTGGGATATAGTATGAAGTTTCTAATTATAAATTTGCCAGATTATTGGGCTCAGCTTTAGATGCTACCCAAAGTTTCAAAGTTAATGTACAAATTTAATCTTCCATAATCAAAGTATAACCACTCTGGTTGGTTGACACGTACACCAATATATTCCAGAAGCATAGAGGTCTTGGGTTGTGATTTAATTTGCATTTCCTTGATTATCTGAGGTTGAGCACATTTCATATATTTATTGACCACTTGAATCTCTTTGTAAATTTAGCAATGTACTTATTCAAATCTCTTGCCCATTTTTCTGTTAGGTTGTCTTTGTCTTATGGATCAGTATGAATTCTTTATATCTTCTCGATTCAAATCTGTTTGTTGGTTACATGTTTTGCAAATATTTTCTTCCATTCTGTGACTTTAAAAAAAATTTCTTGACTGTGTTTTATTTTTTTAACTTTTTAAAATTGATCTTTAAAAAAATGACAGCAGAATGCATTACAATTTTATTATATGTATACAGCACAATTTTTCATATCTCTGGTTTTATATAAAGTATGTTGACACCAATTCGTGTCTTCATACATGTACTTTGGATGATGATGTCCATCACATTCCACCATCCTTGCTGATTGTGTTCTTGATGATAAATTCTTCAATTGTAACATAGTCTTTCTATCAACCTGAATTGTTTTTGTGACTAGCTGCTCCTTGCCACTATGATGAGTCTCCTAATCCACGAATAATTGTATGTTCTTCTATTTATTTGGATCTTCTTGGATTTATTTGACCGAAATTTTGAAAAATTTCCACATATAGATCCTGTACGTGTTTTGTTAGGTTTGTACTTAAATATTTCACTTTCTTTGATGCAATTAGAAACAGTAGTGTCCTTTTAATTTTAGATTCCACATTTTCATTGTTAGTGTATAGAAATGCATTTGATTTTTTCATGTTGATCTTATATTCTGTAAACTTACAGGACCGACTTACTAGTTCTGGGAGTTTCTATAAGATTTTCAAATGCAGAAAATCATGTCATCTAAAAATAAGGAGAATTTTATTCCTTTCCAGTCAAGATGTGTGTGTGTGTGTGTGTGTGTGTGTGTGTGTGTGTGTGTCTTGGCTTTGCCCTATTGAACTGGCTTGAATGGATGTGAGAGTGAACAAACAACCTTGCCTTTTTCCTAATCAGGAAATCATTCAGCCTTTACTATGAACTATGATATCAGCTGTAGTTTTTTTTGTTAGATGCTATTTTATCAGGTTGAGACAGTTTCCTTCTGTTTCTAGTTTGCTGAGTTTTATCAAGAGAGTGTTGGATATCGCCAAAGACTTCCTGTATCATACAAATTTTCTTCATTAGCTTAACATGGTAGACCACATTAATTAATTATTTATTTTAGGGCTACTGGGGATTGAACTCAGGGGCACTCAACCACTGAATCATATCCCCAGCCCTATTTTGTATTTGATTTAGARACAGGGTCTCACTGAGTTRCTT